ATAAACAAGTATAAAAATAAGTTTTAAGTATAATATTACAGTTCATTTGTAATATTTTTTGTTATAGTTTGATATAAGTCCCTTTGCTTCTCACTGAACGGGGTGCTGATTTAAAAGTGAGTCCCCTTGTCTCTCACTGATTGGGGTGGTGGTTTAAAGTGAGTCCCATGTGAAGTGCTGGCGGCTGGGAGGTTTACTTATAGCTAAATCTAGTAGAATATTATTGATTCTAGGCCTTTGAATAAATGTTTTACATGATGTAGAATTACTGTTATATTAAATTTTTTACCTACGACCACTACTGTAAATACTTAAAAACACACCGTCTGCGATCAATGTAAGATTCCTATTACGTACGGTAAAAAAATCGCACAGTTTTCCTAGCAACCGCCTAGCAACGGCCAATACAATACTGTTTGGTATTGACCGTTGTTAGGCGGTTGCTAGGAAAACTGTACGATTTTTTTACCAAGCTGTGCGCTTTTTTTACCGTACGACGTAATAGGAATCTTGCATTGATCGCAGACGATGTGTTTTTAAGTATTTAAAGTAGTGGTCGTAGGTGAAGTATAGTACGTAATACGTGGTGTAATGCAATTACGCACTCATAGAATTACGCACTCGCCGCTACGCGGCGTCGTGCGTAACTTTTCCATTCGTGCGTAAAATGCTTTTTACAACACTTATTACGTGTTATTACTATTACTTAAGTGTTTTTTAGAGGTTGTTATGGAGATGAGTGGGAGGGGGAAAAGAGTAAGAGTTTACTTTTATGATTATAAACAAGTGTTTCCCTAAATTGTGCCCGAAAATATTATTTATATGATTCTGTACATCAGATGTAAGAAAAATGGAAAAAAGTTCACAGAAACGCCGTTGTACTTCAGTTGGTACGGCAGAAGCTAGAAGCGTTTTAGCTTTTAACAATCCGTTACCACCAGTAATATAAGGCCAATCAGACAACAGCATATTTGACAGAACACTACAAAACATACAATATAGTAAATAATACAAATTTTATGTAAACAGAGTACCTATGTAATATTTATACCATACAAGTTCAATGTAACAGTACATCTGCAGTGCCATTGCACTAACGTTTATCTGAATGTTATTTTACTCTTTAATCAAATGCTAAGCGATTTATTTTAGCAAACGTCTTCCAAGTGTTTGCCTAAAGAGACTTGCTGCAAATGTAAACGCAACGTCATATTGATCCAGCAAGAATTTTAGCAATCTGCTTGCTTGTTCCACGAGCGGTGAAAAAGGTCATTATAAACGACTCCGGTCGAGTCATGGCCCGAAAGTTCTCTCATACCCCGCGGAACTATCGAAAGATTCCGCGGCATGCGCGGATCGCAACAGGTAGCCCTAGCGGTGCCTCGAAGGGGGAACAGGTGGGATGCGCCCTTAATGAAATCTTCAGGGTATATTTCCCGACTTTATAACCGAATGCGGCGGGATGGAAATCTGGATCGCTAATGATGTTTGCTCGCACTAGTCATAAAGTGGCAGACTTTGTTTATGTTTTCGAATCGATTCAGGCGTGAAATATTGAGTATGAGGCTCTTTGTGAGCAGATAATTTTCAGTTCCGTTATGTGCACGGAGAATTACCAGCTCATTATTACAGTATAAAGAGAATGAGGGTAATTTATTAACGGAATAATATGTACTCCGTGTGAGATTGTAAGATTAGCGGAACTCATTTTCATAGGAGCGAATTTAAAATATATTCTGACAAGAAAATAATACATTGCAACATTTAATATGATTAATTTATTTTTTCGCATTTTGACTGATACAATGCTATTTTACTAAATTCAAAATCGTTTACTAAAGTGGGACTTTACTGAACGATACACTTTGCTGTACAGGGTATTCGGAAAGGACATGTCAAAAATGAAGGGGTGTACAGGGGAGCTCAAAATAGTTGCAGTACTTCATAAAAAATGTTTTCCTATCGGGCATCGTTGTGGACTTATTTACCTTCAAAGAAAGAATCTTGAAAAACAAATTCCAGTTATAACTTCTAAGTCGTTATCATGACAACAATGAAATTTGGGAATTAAACTGATCATGGTAATGTACTTTTCCAAGTTTAAACGGGTATTCAATATGCCTGGATTATACAGGAGCAGACGAAATTATCCAATTTATGCATGTTTGACAGTGTTGCCAAATTTGATCTTTCATAGTTCGATTCCTCTCTTACTTTGTTAAAAAAAAGGTATACCGTATATCAGTAGATATCTTTTACCGTTTATGAGAAAATCGAATTTTATTAACAACATACATTTATTGTATCAAAAATGCGATATTAACATTTTTGTAAAAATCTTGGTTACTATAGAATTTAAAAAAAGGAACTGTCAAGTAAGATGTTCAATATATGCACCTTGAACTCAATGCATTTTTTGAAATTGCTCAAACACCTCTGCTGTACTCAAAATAACTTGTGGTGATCATTTCTAATGATGTCGGCGTATGTAATTATGCGATTTAATAATTCTTCCCTACTATTTATAGGAGTTTGATAAACAAGACTTTTAAGATGCCTCAAAGAAAGAAATCGAGTATTAAGATCGGGAGACCGAGACAGCCACGGAAAAGGACTACCATCGGGAAATGTGGTACCTATTTAATTAAGCCCTTAATAGTAGTAGTAGTAAAAGGGGCGGCCTCAGCCTGGCTATTAGGCCACAAGTGGGCCCTTTTTGCCTACCCCGCCGTCCCATCACCTAACCACTCTCTGCCTCTGACCCTCCTCGCGATGCCCTGATGAGCGCCAGGATTTTGGTCCATGGAAGGTCTCTCACCTCAATTCCTTGCAGCTCTTCAGCACCAAAGACTTTATGTCTTATTCTCCCAAAGGCTGTACACAGNAATTCTCTGCAGCCAGAGAAATACGCTGCTCATTTTGCACCTCATTTTGCAGGAAAAGCATAAGATTCCTAAGGCGGTCGTCCAAATTACTCTCCGCTACTGTTGTTGCACTGTTGTTAACTGTCTGTGATGAACGCTGCCAGACACGTAATAATTCATGTGGCAAACACGATTCAATAAGAGGAAACAGCATCGCAGAACATTTATCCGATGTAATACCCAACGTTTCAAGAGCTCGAATTTGTGTCTCAATCTTGTCGTACAACGTGCACAAATCCATTTTTTGTTGAGAATTAGCATTATTTAAAATTAACTTAAGAAGTTCTCTAACATACACCTCGATCTGCAGGTCCTCCCTTCCAAATCGAGACTGCATGCTGTCAATGATTTTTTCGTAATTACCCGCCATGGCAGGAAAACTTTCGACAAGTTGCCTAGCTCTACTCTTTACAACTGTTGCTTGAAGGAGATATTCAATTTTATCGCATTCATCAATATCGGAATCTTCATGAATTTTCTTAAATTGAGCCCAAAACGGCAACCAATCTTTAATATTCCCGTCGTAACGTTTGAATTCAATTTTGGGTAATCTAAATTTACGCCTACTTGAATTTTCGTTCGCCGACAACTGTGATGACACTGTTTCTCCATCGTCACCTTTAACGCTGACCAATTTCTGCTTATTCACCAGATTTTCATATGACAATCGCAGACTTAAAAACTTACGGCTATACGTGTCACAGGCATCAACTTCCGCCGAGAGATCCTGTTCACTGGATTGGTCTAACATCAATTCATATATTTCGGAACTTATCACCTTCAACTCGTCATATTTTGGGTGCAGAAGCTCCCACGAAACATGAACTCTATGAATGTCCACAGGTTGCACCGTCAATAGTTGCTCGAACTCATTCGCCACCCGTGTGAAGGCCCCGCGTATTACGGTCCTGCTCTTTTTCTTTTTGTCCAACAACTCCGCCATTTTTCAAACCCGGTTCTAAACCGCAGTCGTTATCAAAACTCAGGAAAACGACGCAAAAGTTTGAATATAGCTGCACAACGTACAAGTCCTGTCACGGTCGCCAAATTATGTCAAACTCACTCGCGTTGGCGCAAACAGCTACCCGCTGAATCCCAACAACGAAGGTTCACTAAATAACGTTGTGCAAACCAAATAAGATTTATTCTTCTGCTAAAACAATGTTACAAATCTTTTTCATGATTGACATACGTCAGTCAACCACCCAACTCTTGATTAATATAAAAAATAGTATTCAAGTATAAAAGTACAGATATCTTGACACTACGGATCCCGGGGAGAACATATCACCATCCTGCTTCCACTGTTCGCTCGAGGGGAAGTGGTGACATACTTCCTTCCCAACCTAAGCCGGTCCTCTGCTTCCGTAACCCTCATGGCGGATATGGGGATGTCCCTTTCCGCCCTGAGGGCCATGGCAGCATGGCTCTCAGTGCGTCCTTTCGTTCTCCAACCCCCGGCGTCCCTTATCCTAAGGTATGCCGCCATCGCCTCCCTCATAATCCATGTAGGAAGAGTCGGCAGCCCCAGAAGGACCTCTAACGCGGCCGTTGGGGTCGTTCTCATTGCCCCTATAATACCTAAGCAGGCAAGTCTCTGGATACTCACCAACTTTCTGGTTACCGTCACCCGGTCCACACACGGCCACCAGACCAAGGCCCCCTACTGCAGCCTCGGCCTGACCACCGCCGTGTACACCCAGTGAAGCACCCTTGGATTGAGTCCCCAGTTTTTGCCAACTACATACCTTCCTTAACTGCCAGAGGGTTGCCACTGATTTCCAGGTAATCCTCTCAACCTGTGGCCCCCATGACAGTTTACTGTCCAGGATTACCCCCAAGTATTTGACTTCCCTGACCAAAGTCAGGGGCCTCCCATACATGGTTGGAGCCCTGAAGTCACCTATCTTCTTTCTCCTTGTAAATAGGATCATCTCCGTCTTCTTTGAGTTGACTGAGAGCCCCATCTCGCACCACCTCTCTATGATCCTACAGGCTCCCTGCATTCTGTCGCATACCACGTCCTAAAACCGGCCCGCGACTAGAACCACGCCATCATTGGCGTAAGCATGGGCATCACTGTATCCCTCCGAGGTTAGGCGTTCCAGGAGACCGTCCATCACTCGGCACCATAGAGGTGGGGAGAGGCAGCTGCCTTGAGGGCATCTCCCCCACTCCCAGGTCCCTACGACAGTCCCCCATGGCTGCACTAACCTTCCTTTCCTTCAATGCCGAACTCACCCATTCGACTACGATAGGCGATGTGCCCCGGTTTTGGAGCGAGTTGCATATGGTCTCAGTTTTTGCCTTGTCGAAGGCACCTTCTATATCAAAGAATATTGCCAGTACGACCTCTTTGTACTGAAGGGCCTTCTCTACTTTATGCGTGACACTATGTAAGGCCGTCTCTGTGGACCTGCCCCGCCTATATGTGTGCTGGTTCGTGTGGATTGGGTATCTCCTCAACGCCCCATCCACCAGATACCTGTCCACAATCCTTTCCATCGTTTTAAACAGAAAGGATGTGAGACTAATAGGCCTAAAAGACTTCGCCGCAGTGTAGTCTTCTTTCCCAGCCTTGGGGATGAAGACCACCTTGGCTGACCTCCAAGCCTGTGGGACNTCAACGCCCCATCCACCAGATACCTGTCCACAATCCTTTCCATCGTTTTAAACAGAAAGGATGTGAGACTAATAGGCCTAAAAGACTTCGCCGCAGTGTAGTCTTCTTTCCCAGCCTTGGGGATGAAGACCACCTTGGCTGACCTCCAAGCCTGTGAGACGTTGCCCATCGCCAGACTGACCCGGAAGACCCTCACCATACATGGCACGAGAATATCCAGGCCCCTCTGCAACAACGACGGGGAAACTCCGTCCAGCCCCGCTGCCTTGTAGGGTTCGAACTCATTCACTGGCCAGGTTACTGCCTCGTCGCCAATGACCTCCCCGGCCAGGAGCCAATCTGCTTGTGGCATCGGCTCCGCCCTAGTGCCCTCGACGACATGGCCTCCACCTACAAAGTGAGTTTCCAGCAGAAGTTCTAAATACTCCTCGCTGGAAGTGGTCCAAGTCCCATCTTCCCTCTTTAATGATTCTAATTTCTCCCTGTTGTCGCAGCTTAAGATCTTCATTAATCTGTCTGTCTCCGGCAGGGACTCCAGCTCGCTGCAGTATGCCTTCCAGCCTAAGTTTCTTCTTAAACTCTCTCCTTGCAGTTTTTGATCGTCCCAAGAGGTCCCTTCCCCTTCCCTGACAGCTCGGTTAAAGACACCCCTGCCCGTCCGGCGGAGAACCTCTAGGGTCTTATTCCACCAGCGGACCTTGCGCCCACCTGCCGCCCTAAGAGGGCAAGCCTCCTCATATGCCGAGACGACACAACTGCTTAGGGTTTCTAACTGCCTTGTGGAGGTTATTCGTTCACCCTGGTTGCTCGCTTCTAGGGAGCTCCCTAGGTTACCACGATATACATCCCAGTTTGTTGCCCTTGGATTTCGTCGGNGGAGCTCCCTAGGTTACAACGATATACCTCCCAGTTTGTTGCCCTTGGATTTCGTCGGAGAGTTATCGTTTCCGAATCCGACTTCATCTCGAAAGCGATCATCCTGTGATCGGACATCGAGATGCAGCCCGTGACCCTCCATCCAGAAATCCCTTCTATAATACTTTGAGAAGCCAACGTAATGTCAATCACATCTTTCCGGATGCGGTTCACAAAAGTCGGCTCCTTTCCCCTATTCATGACCTGCAGGTCTGTGGTTGCTATATATTCCAGCAACGTCTCCCCACGGGAATTAACATCCCCGCTGCCCCATACCGTGTGATGAGCATTTGCATCACACCCAATGATTACAGGCAGACCTTTATTTTTAGCAAAATTAACTACATTTTCTTACTCTTTAGTAGGCGGAAGTCTACCAGTATCATAAGGGAGGTATATGCTATTAACTATGACTTTACGCCTAATTTCACTTACCTTATATTCGAGGATGGCTGTAGTGGCATCCCTGGTCCCCAGTTGTGGTAGTGATACCATTCGGAGTTCCTTGGACGCCATTATGCAGGTCCGAGGTGGCTCGGCTCCATCCTCCTTCCCGACTATGCAATTGTAGCCGGTACTGCCTAGCCCCACTACTCGATTCCTGTAAACATAAGGTTTCTGGATTAAAATTAATTCTCCAGTCTTATCTGTCAGTAGCTTCATCCCGGTAGCTGACTGACTGTGCTGAAGATTAATTAAGCTCTTACTGCCCTGCTAAAATGGGGTGGTGCACCATCGGGCATAAACCATATGTTATTTCAAATATTTAAAGGGACCTCTTCCAATAGCGGGTTAAGGTGTTCTTGCAGTAAATGTAGGTATTTATCCTAATTTAAAGCATCATCAATGATATATGGTCCCACTAAGTAGTTTCCAATTATTTCCATCCATACATTAATATTTTTGTTAGTGTTTTGTCTGAATCATAGCATGGGGTTTTTCGTCACTTCAAATAAGCAAATTCTATTTGGAAAGCGGTTGGCGTAAGTCCGAACAGCTTCAGAAGCATTACATTTTGCAAGTTCGTACATTATATGAATATCTACAAATTCTTCGTAGATAAAATCCTCCATGATATTGAATCAACAAATGGTGTCAAAATAATTTATGACAAAAATCTAACTGCTAATTATACATTCTTGTTGACAGTGACCTTAATTTCCAAGATTTTTGCAAAAATATTAATATTGAATGTTTGATACAATACATGTGTATGTCCATTTTCTCAAAAACGGTACAAGATATCGACTGATATATGGTATAGTTTTTTTAGCGAAGTGGGAGAGAAATCGAACTATGAAAGAAAAATGCTAAAGGCAACGCTGTCAAAGGCGTATAGGGAGTTTTAAGTATTCTGCAATCTGCAACTCTTTGGGGAATTTTTGCAAAACTGTCGTTGCCAACTGGTTGTATTGTGCACTTACCGTGATTATAGTAAATGAAAAATCTATTCAATGATAAATACTTATAATAAATTTTATATCCGTTGCACTCTGATCCTACGGTAATACACGTTTCTTTTTGGATTTGGTAACATGTACATTTTTATAACCAAAATTTTCACCGTGTCTTCTATATCTTTAACAGTTAATCTGCACAATTCTGCATGCCGACATGCCCCATTTAAACCAAATATTAGTACCACTTTCATTAATAAAAACTTATCGTCTGGAGCCTCTTTTTAAAACCTAGTAACATTTTCCACAGTCAAGACTTTTGATTTCTTTGCTTCGTATGTGTCATTTTGACGTTTTAAAAAGGCAAGTAGCTTTTTATATTGTGATATATCCATATTTTCGTTTATTTGTATAGTACTTTTTAACATGGAATATTGTATCAAAATAACAAGAGACCAGTAAAGAGATGTATATTGAATTGCACGAATCGATAGCAGATGTCCGTAGCTGTCCGTTCAGTTATTAGCACTTTTTGTACACAACCGTATTTTTGTTAAATTTACTGCTAAATAGGAAGTCTAAATCAGAGTTCAAGTTCTGTGCCTAAAAGCCACACGGTAATACGGCAGATTTTGCATACCAAAATACGACCTAAAGACCTGGTTTTAGATAAGTGTTCTGTGAGGAATTAATACCTCTTTATATTGAGGTTAAAATCAACTAGTTAAGCTTTTTGTTGTAATTACTGTCTGTAGTTATTTTTTCTCCGTTGTTGTTATTGTAGTTACTTATTATTGTTACTTATTCCGTACTGTGATTAAACAACTATTTTAGGTGTGGTACTTCTAAATCTAATAAAAACCATTTTTCACTACTGAAAGATTTTCTTAAACCCTTACAATATCTATACCATAAACTGGATGCCTTAAGAGATTTTGCCTAAAATAACGAAAGACATTGTATGAAAAACACTAAAGTATGTAACAATTTTATTTAAAAATGTCACTAATACACACTAATTACACAATCATGATTTTAATTACAAGCTTTATAAGCGAATTACCCACATTTTACTAAAGTCTACAAAATTAGTAAAGTTGAGGAAAACTTTCCAACTCTTCACAATTTAATTCGCGTACAAATAAATGTAATTTTCCTAGGAAATGAAAAAGTGAACGAATTTTCTTAAAAGTGAATTCGCAAATCGTATCTAATCTCGTCGGCCTCTCAGATTGCCCCAAATACTTTTTAAATTACTTTCTCCGAGATAATATTTGAGTATTATGTAAAAAAGTTTCATAATTCTCCAGCCCGGACCTTGTACATTTTTTAAAGCTGCGTTAAGAAATTTTGTGAGAACTGTGTTTTTTTAGGAATGTCCGTAGGACGAGAACAACTAAACAAAGTAAACACAGTTATTCACTACTACTATACTAATATGTGAGGAGAAAACTGTGACTTTTGGTTACAGATACTATTTCATTGTACCAGACAATCTAAAATAAATAAAAACCTATGTTTTTGTAGGAGTAATCAAGGAAAAGACAATTATTATTCTTGGAGGGATATAACTCCTGAAAGATCAATAGTTACGAAATTTTCAAAGTAAAGGCTGTTAACTATACTTTCCTTCTTGTAGGTATTGCTGTTGAACCTTTTAAGGTGGAAAAAAATCTCCAAATTTCTCTTCTGTTAGAGGACTAATTGGAATAGGTTGGAATAGCTGATATGATGGTGATAAGATCATCAGCGCTCGGAAGAATACATGTCGATGCTTAATATGGTTCTATGTTTTTGCGAGATCTTCTGAAAATGCTTTCAAAGTACTGTAGACCTTTATTTTATTGTTTCTCGTACCCGATCTCAAATCTGTTTCAGTAGACTGGTTCCATCAGTTTGTCAGTCTCACAATATATTGAGTGCTGTCTTCTTGATCAAATTGAATTTCCTGTTTCTCAATCAGATTATTTTTGTCTTTAACATCTTGGTGTCATGATACTAATATCTGGTTTAATTTAGATATTATATTATTATAGTGTAAGAAGTGATCTTACTGGATGTGGCTAGAATATGCACTGCAACAACTTTTCCAACAAATTAAGTTTTTTTGACTAAAATAATGATTATCACTTTACTTACTCCCATTAAATTCATAGGTCTGCATTTTCGGAACAAATAAAGTTTGACGTATTATTTTTTGCATTTTTTTATCGTGCAATTAATCTTATTTAAACTCATAAAATTTGAACAAAACGGTGGGGTGCCTTGTATATTTAGTTAATTCTAATTTCTGTTAAACTTTTAATTACTTTTTAAATCAAGTTTCTTTTAAACGCTTATTGGAATTCTTAGAATTTAGGAACTTAGCCAAGCCGTTCTCTGCAAATTAAATCGATTGTGATTTCCCATTAGAGAATATTGATGAAAAATTCACAATTCTTCTAAGTCATCTAAAAACCAGATTAATATAAATTTGCACCTTCAAAAAAAATTATGCAAATTTTTGGTCAAATATATTGGTAGCACTGGCGAATACTTCTTTTTCACACCGAATATGAATTTAGTGAAGTGTTTCTAATACTTTCCTGTCCCTTATATATTCTATTTCTTCGATGTTTGCTCTTGGGTTGTGTAAATAAGAAGGTGAAAAATCGTTGAAATGGAAAGAGAATCACTATGTAGAATACATATTTGATTTATGTTAGCAGAAAACTATCATCCATTATCAGTTAACGTCGATAATCAGTATATTCATCCAGTAAAATTTCTAATATGTATAAAATCAATGAGAAAAAATTAGAGACTGTCTGGTTTACTTTCATCAAATATATAAAATATTTATTGATTTATGTCAATGAAATGTTTTGTTTACCTACTTGTCTCTGATATCTATTTGTTTCGATGAAAACAATGTAAATACAATTTTGAGTAAAAAAATAGTTTCAAAATATTTATTGAAAATTAGTGAAATTGTAAACCTTATAGGTTATTCCTAAATTTAGAAAAAGTAGGCGAATGTCTCTGCGGAAGCTATTTAAAAAATTGATGGTGCATCAAAGGTCGCTATATTGGCAATAATATTTGATATAGTTATGCCAAATTCGAACGGTTTGTTCTATTTGGGTTTTTGTCTTTGTTATTTTGAGAAAAATAAGAATTTTGTGTGCAACCTACACTGTATTTAAACAAATTCTAAACTTCTAAGAAGAAAAATAATTAGTGAATTTCTATAATCTCTCTAAGACATTTAAAAAAGATGCTTATCATCTATGGTAAGTGACCCATACTGTAAGCTCACCCTTGTAGTTTAATGTTAGCACCAGCAATACTATACAAGTTGTTTAAAACTTTGAAGGGTATTCGAACAATAAACAAATTAAGGTGCGGAACCGTCTTTTGTTAAACAGAATATATTTTTTTAGTACATTCAGACGTATCACAATAATTCGAAGGAACATTTTAGGAACGCTAACTTCATCGACAGTTTGGCTGGTTCTGTGTGAAGTAATTGCTGTGCATACAGTTAATTTGCAATTTTCATAACTGGCTTCATTATGTTACCACCATAGCCATTAATTCATTATTACTGTATTGGTTAGCCATTTTAGTATGTTTATTTGCACTTTGATTACTAAACAAATCCTAGACAGACTAACACAAAAAGAAAATAGAGCTAAAAGTAAGAATATCTTTGCTTGAAATTTAAATGAAATATACACGTTTCCGTAAACAAATGTATAGTAACATGTAAAATTAAACTATTAAATATCTAACAATTTTATATACTTCTACTGTAAAGAGAGTTATATCAAATGACCATTAAGAACTCCCCTCCCCTTCTTTTGTTAACATACAGGGTTTTTTTGTAGATTTAGACCTAAAATTCTTTTTGATGCAATATTTGAACCATATATACACTGTTGACTGAAATTCGACTGATATTCTCAAACAATCAGAAATGCTAGGATCGGTCGTAAAAAAATAATTAGAGCACTGCGTATCAAAAAATTTACCTTGTATGCGATTTGTTTTTAATGTAACAGTGGACAAATGGGTATTGAAAGTTGTGTGTTTTACATTTTTGACACACTTTTGATAGTTTTCCCAAATAATCAATACTGACTAACAGCCAGAATACCGTTTTTAAGAAAAAAAATTGTCTACTCTTATTAGTCGGATCGAGACGCTTTTTTTTTTAATTCATGTTTTTAATGTAATTAGTTTGAAATCTGTATATTAAAAAATCGCCGAGAAAAGGACCCTGGT